CCGTTCTCACCTCCAGCTACCAATTCCAGCTTCCTGCTAGTACAGAACCTGGGAGGCCGCAGCGATGACTAAGGTGATTTGAGTTCTGAACTGCCACCACGTGGGAATCCTGAACTGAGTTCCCAGATAATAGCTGCAACTCGGATCAATCTCAGCCCTTGCAGCATTTAGGCAGGGAACCAAAGGATGGTCTGTCTGTCTGTCTGTCTCCCTCTCTCTCTCATATGTACATGAAAGATAAATAAATGTACTCAGCAACTCCAGGCCCTTGATGCTGCTTAACTAGTTTCAGATTACAGGTTAATTATCAACATGCAGGAAACAGAAATAATAAAAATTAGCAAAAGCTTTCCACTAATTCATTCATTCATCAAACTACCTGAATTTAGTTTTGTTTCTGAAACTCTTTCCACTGACTCCAAATCACTCCCAAATTGCAAGCTCCCAACTGTGGGGAGCAACTGGGAGCAACTCGGACTAGACTAAGTTACTGGAATTAAGACTTATTCTATGCATCTCCTCTCCCACAATATGGCGCTGAGAAGGGAGTAACAACTTCTACGCAGCTGCCTCTCGCCAATTTGATTGACTGAGCTGCAGGAGCTGATCTTGCTCCTGATTGGAGGAGAGCAGCGTACTCGGCGTGTGGGTAGCAGAGTTGGGATTGGTGGAAGAGGACTATAAAGGAGGAGAGAGACAACATGCACCAGGAACATCTAAGGGAAACATCTAAGGGGAACACCTGTGCAGCCCCCAAGAAAGCCGGCCGGCGGTGTGCCGCTCCCCCGCGGAAGTGGGGAATGTGGCAGGGGGAACCGCCCTTCCACGGAGGTGGAAGGGACGGTAGCCAACCCGGGAAGAACCAGCAGCAAACCCGGGGAGGGCCGAGCAGACAAAAGAACAGCGCAGGGTCCTGTGTCGTTCCTCCACGAAGAGGGGGAGCGACACCAACCATCACCAGTTATTCAAGTAGCAGTATTGAAGATATAATACGGACCAGATACTAGATGTAAAGGTAAATGTTTCTCCTTCTAAACCACTTAAATAACTCAAGAGAAATTTGTGTGTGTAGGTCAACAAGTTTATATGGTAAATGTAGAAGTAACATAGAAGACCGATCTTCAATGCACTACTGCTGTTGCATTACAGTTGCAACAACTCTACTTAACAGAAGAAAACAACAAATAATGAATGGCAACCTCAATTTCTTAAGCAACACCCCAAATAATGCTATGTGTGTATGAAATCATCACATCCTTAGAGCAATCATAAAAAGTAGGTAATGTTGGGGCAACAGTACAGCCAAGAAAACTAAGTCATATAGATGAGGATGAAGAGCTAGGAATCCTGTCCAGATAATACCTACCTAAGAAGACGTGGTCTTGGAACCAAGTATAGAGAGAAGGGAGAAGGTGCACAGAGGCCCAGCATAAGCACTGGCAGACAGGGCTGGAAATATTTGTGGTTTCTTTCAGGATTGAAAAGCAATTCAATGTTCACTGACCAATTTAGTAATGAACATGTATTCTGAAATTTTATCCTGGGCCACGCTGTGGCACAGCAGGTAAAGCCACCACTTGCAGTTTCAGCATCCCATATGGGTGCTGGTTCAGGTCCCGGCTGCTCCACTTCTAATCCAGCTCTCTGCTATGACCTGGGAAAGCAGTGGAGGATGGCCCAAGTGGTTGTACTCCTGTACCCACGTGGGAGACCGGAAAGAAGCTCCTGGCTCCTGGCTTCAGATCGGCGTAGCTCCAGCCATTGTGGCCAATTGGGGAGTGAACCAGCGGGTGGAAGATCTCGATCTCGATCTCAATCTCTCTCTCTGGCTTTGAATTTCAAATGAATAAATAAATCTTTAAAAATAAAGAAGAAATGTATCCTGTACAAAAAATAACTCAACAACATTGCTTTTTTTTCCCTCAGTCTTCCATTCCATGAATGGTTTTCCCCCTAAACTCCTCACTTAAGAGGTAAATTCAAAAAGTTCACAGAAAGATGGAAAAAATAAAAATGAAGGGTGGGTGTTGCGATGCAGCAGGTTAAGCTACCACTTGGGATGACTTCATCCCACACCAGTGCTGGTCTGAGTCCCAGCTACTCTGCTTCCAATCCCGCACCCTGCTAATGAGCCTGGAAAGCAGAAGATAATGGCTCAAGTCCTTGAGTTCCTGCTTTCCACGTGCGTGTGTGACCCAGCTGTTGCGGCCATCTGGGGAGTAACCCATGAATGGAAGAGCGACCCCCCCCCACTTCTCTCTGTCATTCTGTCTTTCAAAGAAAGAAAGACTTTTAAAAGTTGAAATCCATACATAGAGTTTTTTCCAAATATACATTTTCCAGGAACTTTTTGAAGTACCCGTGAACATCCTGAACCTCTGTGTTTTTTCTTTAACAGAAAGAGCCTTCTGGGAAGTCAATGTGCCACTGCCGGTGTGTAAGTGTTACCGAAGACCACTGCAAAACAGAGCAGCCTGGATCAGAGAAAACGTGTAAAGAGGACTTTATACTAGCAACACCTGGCGCATCTGGGACAGCATGCCTTTCTGAGGGAAAGGTGTTATGATAAGCTGAATGCGTGGTGTAAGATTTTCCTACAGGAATTGGGGATGAGGGGTGGGGGCAGACGCAGAGATCTGATATTTGAGCTCGTAAAATAAAACCTGCGAAGACTTTCAGGATTACTAGGAGATAAAAATAGTTACTGAAATACAATTATGTCAATTTAATGTATAGCAAACTTCCTGAAGAAATGCAGTGTGGTGTCACTAGGTACACTAACACCTCTGCCCTACAGAACCATTTTCTTAAGGAGCTGGAATTGTGTGACATTACAGGTCACAGCCACTAGGTGGGACCTCAACTAGTTCAAGAATCATAAAGACCATCAGGAGCAAGCCAGAAATAACCAGAAAGACAAGTACTTCTCTCACTGGGCTGTGGGGGCTCTAATTCTGTCTTCCGGATGATGTCAAATACTAACTGTTGACAGTTATACCAAATTGTAAGGGGAAGACAGGAGAGCGACAAAGAACAAAATTAACATCAATGAGCATTTTCACCCAAAGGGAGACTGAAGAAGTAACTTCAGCAAAAGATCAACTTTGGGAGGAAAACCAGCCCTATGAACCAAATGTGAAAGATGACAGAGAGTAAAAGGAATGACAAAATAAGTATCCCCTCGTACAGTGAGCAAGTTCAAGATGCTAAGAGCAGACAGTCTTAAGAACAGCTGTGTGAGGAAGGTGGCAGCTGTGGGAAACATACAAGGCAAATCCAGTAAATGAATGGCACAGCACAGCTACAAAGCATAGGTACTGGGGCTGGTGCTGTGGCATAGCTGGTAAAGCTGCCATCTGCAGTGCTGGCATCCCACATGGATGCCGGTTCGAGTCTGGCTACTCCACTTCTGATCCAGCTGTCTGCTATGGCCCAGGAAAGCAGCAGAAGATGGCCCAAGTGCTTGGGCCCCTGCACCCACATGACAGACTGGGAAGAAGCAGCCCCTAGCTCCTGGCTTCAGATCAGCATAGCTCTGGCCATTGCAGCCATCTAGGGAGTGAACCAGCAGATGGAAGACTTCTCTCTCTGTCTCTCTGCCTCTCTGTAACTCTGCCTTTCAAATAAATAAATAAATCTTAAAAAAAAAAAAAAGCACAGGTACAATGAGGGAACTTGTGTTGAATCTAGAGAAGAGGAGCCATACACATCCTAAATTACTGTGTGAAGTTAGAAGACTTAACAAGGTTCATAAAGAATCTGCAGTAAGAATAAAGGAATCCCTTCTCATTGCAGGCTCCTTCTCTGAAAAAAAGAAATTTCAGATGAGAAGTGGGTTATTTGGGGCCAGCGTCATGGTGCAGCGGGTAAAGCCACCATCTGCGTCACCAGCACCCCGTGTGGGCACCTGTTTGAGACTAGGCTGTTCCACTTCCAATTCAGCTCCCTGCTAATGGCTTGGGAAAGCAGCAGAAGATGGCCCAAGTATTTGGGTCCCTGCAATCACGTGGGAGATCCAAAAAAGCTCCTGATTCCTGGCTTCAGCCTGGCCCAGCCCTGGCCACTGAGGCCATCTGGGGAAGTAGATGGAAGATCTCTCTCTCTCTCTCTCTGTGTCTGTGTGTATCTGTGTCTCTTCTTCTCTCTGTGAAACTCTGACTTTCAACTAAATAAACAAATCTTAAAAAGTAGTAAGAAAGAAGTGGGTTATTAGATTTTAAAATGTTAAGTACAAAATTGGGTCCCTGGGTGGGTTCTGGTACCCAGCGACCTCTCAGAAGCACAGGTCTTGGCGACAATGATGCCAGGCAACCATGTCCACAGCAAGGAACCACCACGACCATTCTCCTCTAAGTCAGAAGGAACTCTGAGCTTCCTTATCACTACCCAGAATATTAAGGAGGAAGGGGCAGACTTGATAATTGACACACTGCCCCCCCCCAATCAGAAACACTGAAGTTAATTTAAAGCCATTTGCTTCTGTTTAGATGGTTAAACTTTCTGAGGTTAAAAAAAAAAGATTTCTTTAATCTTCTTTACTGATAATCTTTGAAACAGTACAAACAACTTGTTCTGCAACTAAAAGGAAGCTCATGCAAAATTCAATAGTTCTGCCTGGTTTGGACTGGAGCTAGCAGGATATTCAAATGCTGAGAGGTCAGCTCAACCTACACAGCGCCTCTGAAAGCAGCGCTGCCAATTTCTTTTGATTTCTGTTTTACTTCATTTCCTTGCACGATGGAGCCCACACCTAACAAGCACAGCGAATCTTATTAACACAAAAATTTTCCTCTGACTCCCCCTCACCCTCCACTCCCACCTCTCCCTCGTGGAACCATGCTGTCTCTGAAATCACAGGAGGACAGGGCAGGGCTCCCCCCACCCCGCCCCGAGACTAGAGGTACCTTTCCAGTGTCCTCACACAACCTTTCCCCATCCACAAACACAGCTTTGTCAGGACTCAAACCAGGGCATCAGCTCATCCAGGAAGGGTGACATACCTTTTGGAAGGATCTTTCTGAAGACACAGTGAAAGTAATTTTCTAAAAGACTTGCCGTACTTTTTCATCATTTCTTTATCCTCTACTCCGGTTTCTAAAGTGGGCGGATCATTTTGCAGAGTCAACATTAACACCTGTGGCAGGGAATAAACGTGAAGCCAGAATCTCAGTACAGCCACTGCTGGGAGAGGCCATTCAGTGTTGCGCAGACATCAAAGACTGCCCTGGGTGCAGTACCACAGTGCTTTCCCATGATGTTAGCATACATGTTGAAAATATCCATTTCCCTTCATGACGCCTTTCATGTGCCCTATAACCTTGTTCTTATCCCACTCCCAGAGCTCACAAAATGTGCTCTGTGTAGGATCTCCCAGAGAGAGCTGGACGTCAGCTCCCAGGGAAGTGGCTCTCCCAGGGCCTGGAGGCGCATGTCGCTGCAGCACAGACTCAGTGGGAAAGGGGGCACAGGCGGAAGAGACAGAGAGGGCCAGGGCAGCACTCATGAGCAGGCACTGCCTGTGCTCCAGGCTCCTGCAACACATTACCAACCCCAAAATAAAACCGCGACATCCCAGGAGCTAACATGATTTCCTTTTTTTAGAAAAAGGCCTGGGAAAACAAATAGGAGACTGCTAAAAACCTTGGCGAAGCTCAGGCAGCAAGATGCTGAAAGACAGCCAGAATATAATTGAATTGCTAAAAATTATAATTAGATAAAAGGCCATGCTGCTTTTGGACAAAACAAAATAAAATACAACTTCAAATCAAATAGAGAAAAATTCCACGCTTTCACACTAACATCAAAATTATCTGCTTCAAAAAATGTAGAATGGGTGGCAAACTATTGGTCTATAAAATGAATACACATTCTTAATGCATAAAGCAGCCCTAATTTATGCAAATGCTATGTATGTCAAGTCCCTTTTCAAACACTTTCAGATATGTGAATAGATGATGGATGGAAGCAACACACTGTTGTCTTGTAGAGGATGATGGTGGAGGATAAAAGTGGGAGGAAGGCGAGCTCGGGAGCAAGGTCCGAGAGGACTACAGCCTGCCATTTTCAGGAGTTAGGATCCAGGTAAGAAATGGTCAGAAGTGGAGAAAGAAAGGAAACAAAAATTGGATAGAAAGAAAAGTGTTCAGAGTCCCGTCAGGGCTTTCTCTCAAAAAGTCCTCTTCAATTATTTTTATCTCAACTTTAAACTTTCTATAACAAAATCAGATATGTGCATATGCATAAGAACACACACATACCCAAACATAACAGGCACATGCACACTCACATTTTAACTATGTCAAAAAAAAACAGATCGATTAATATATAGAGAAAAACAATGAAATGAACTACTACACTAAAATCTTAATAGAGATTGTAGCTGACCAAAGTACTGATGATTCTTTTTCTTCATTATTCTTATCTGTACTCGCAAATTTTCTACAGTAAGAATGTATCATTTTCTTAAAAATGGCTTAACTTTTTATTGTCTGTTTTTTTAAAATCCTCCTAAATTCATCCAATGGCCATGAAATACTCACAAATGATATTCTTTATAGAATATATTCCTACTTTCCACTGAATTCTTTCATCATCATTATCCATTAAGGTAAATCAGGCCTGATATCCCCACCTTAGCACTCAGAGAAAGAGTGAGGTAGGTAAGTTAAAAGAATCTCAAAGCCAAAGCATCCACAGCATAAGTGACTTCCTAGAAACACTGGCTCCGTTGCACTGCTGAGCCAAGCAAGACTGCACCAAGAGGGCAGGGGGAAAACGCCCCAGAACACTTACAAGATGAAGAGGCCCGAAAACCTGGGAGATCCACCTGCACAAGTGACAACACTATGATCTGTTCTCAGATTTCTTTGGGCACCTGGGGCCATCTGCCTTAGCTATCGACCAATCTGATCACATTCTTGCTGCAACTCTGGGGCAAGAACGCAAAGCAAGCTGCAAAGCTGGAGCTGTGCTCCTTCTGTCCTATTCTGCCCACTGAGAAAACCAGGCAGCATGCAACCAGGCTGCAGGCCTCCAGGAATGCTCCTTCAGTCTCAGAGAGAAATGGCCATCCTCACAAGAATGAGAGCACCAACCCCAGCCAATCGCATTTCAAACGGGACATATTGTTTGCAATGGTAATTACTTTCATAGGAGGATATTTGTGATACGGCGCCGCTCCTGTTGCTAGTTCAATGGCAGTTATTCCAAAACTCCACATGTCAGCCTTGAAGTCATAGCCTCTCACCTAGGAAAGAAACCAGCAAGAACCACAGTTAGACAGCAGGCATGTCAACATCACAAGTACACGTTGTGTCCAAAACCCAGAGCTGTTTAAACACAACTGCCACAATTGTTGCTAAGGGCTAGTGATTGGGAACTAAATGTTAGTTACATGATACATTCTCCTGCAATGTAAGTTAAATGTTAATGTAATAAAAACTACCCACTATGTGCTATGTCAATGCAAATGTCACTTTTTTTCTTTTACCTGTTCCATGACTTCAGGGGCCATCCAACATGGGGTTCCAACAAATGTTTTTCTGACTTTATTCCGGGTAACATCACCCCCAGTTGCTAAGAATGCACTTACCCCAAAATCTGAAAAGGAAAAAAAAAAAAACATTTTATGTAAGACATGATTGCTTACAAACCCTGGCTTTCTGAATATATCTCCTCTGGGTAGGTCTTGAAGTGGTGATGAATTGATATAAACAGCTCCACGGAGCTCCTCCAGCCATTCGCAGGGATGGCCCTGCCACCTGCCATCCCCCATGCTGTGGAGAATGCCATGACAGGTAATGAGCCGGTACCCCAGACCAAAAGTTTAGCAGACAATTTATATTTTCGACTAAAAGTTATCAAAAGCCATAATTGAATATAAAGTGTTTTACTTCAATGACATTATGAACATACACATTCCCAAAGCCCTAAATATAAAGGGTCTTGGCTTTTAGCTAAGAGTCATGTTAGAAAACCAATTACAAGAACTCCACTGGAGGCAGTCAAGCTAGCATGCACACGCTTCCTTTATATACTTTTCTTTTATTATCATTATTTTTTCTAGCCTTTATAATCCCAGGTTGTCAACGTTTGGAGGGAGAATTATTTTTAATAAAAGATGAATAATAGCTGTCTTTCACATTCCCAAGTCCTTGCTTAAATAGTGCTAACACCTGAGCCAAAATCATAATGGCAAACCCATACACCCAGGAACAGACAGCCAACACGCCTGGGTTTGTCCACAGGCAACAATCAACACAAAGGAAGAGCTCCGTCAGCAAAGACTGTTTTCTTTCTGATGTCTGCTTCCTGGATAATTTTCTTAAGTGCAGATGGTGTGGTTTGAAAATTAGACACAATGATTCTTAACACCTCATTTGCTAGAAGCTCATGATGTAGGAAGATTAATTAATTAGGTATAATTAATTAGGTATACTGTATATGCATACAGGTATATATGCAAGGATTACCTTTGTATCTGAGAGTAGAGAAGGCAACACCAAGTGCTTATTAATGCATGAAATCCTGATTACACTTGTAAATAAAGGCTTTAAAAAGTGAAGAGTTTCCAGCACCAATTCCTCAGGACTCGTACATTTATTGGTAAAAGCCAAGTCAAGAACCACAGGACAATCAGCTGGTAGTCACTGATGAAAAGGGGTAGTCAACACCTCAAAATGCCACCACATCGTCCAGTGTGAGCCCCCGACCTTGACAGGAAGTCATGCTCCTTTGATGGTCCCTTTCTTTGACTGACAGGCTGACAGCAATTACCAAAGAACAACCCAATTACACACCAAAATCAAAACATGTCAGTATTTGCTTTAGGCCTACAAGATCAGGCTATGCAATTGTGTGACTTAATAACATACTAACTGGTTCCCACAGTGGAAATATGTTGACTCTAATTTTGTTTACATTTGAATTTACTCAGCTCTCAACAGGATTTCAACTACAAGAAAAATAAATCAAAATTGGCAAATAGAGACTTAGTTTCCAATAGCTAGTCTCATGTTAATATGCAGAAAAAAATGTGTTTTGAGGAATTTCTATGTGATTTAATTCGCATGCATGAGTCCAATTGTAAAACTCTCACAATTCTTATAAACTCATAAAACAGAAGTTTGTAGTAGACACTGCAGTGCAATGGGTTAAGCCATTAATGCATGCAATCCTGGCATCCCACATCAGAGTGCTGGTTCCAGTCCTGGCTACTCCACGTTCTGTCCAGCTTCCTTTGCTGCCTGGGAAGAAAACACATAGTAGCTCAAGTACTTGGGTCCCTGCCACCCACATAGAGTTCCAGGTTCCTGGCTTCCACCTGACCCAGCCCCAGTTGTTTGCATCTAGGGAGTAGACAAATGGATAGAAGATCTCTCTCTCTGTCTCTCCCTCTCTCTCTTACTCTGTTTTTCAAATAAAAAATAAGGATATTTTAAAAAAAAAACTGAAGCTTTATGAACAGAAATCTCTGGAATCAGTCTCCCTATGGGTGAGAAAAAAATAACAATCATTCTCTAACAGAGGACTCAGGAGAACTGAAAGGTTTACAAGCATCTACTATATCTGGCCAGAGGAAAACAATGTGGCTTTCAAAAATATTAATTTCAATTTATACTTCTGAAAACAAGTTTACCAAAAAAAATCCAGTATTCCATTTTTATTAAAATGATTTCACAATGTGATAATACATAAATGCATATCATCTATAATTACGGATATAGGTAACAGCTACTTTAAGGAAAACAACAGACTCTTTCTTGAAGCAACCCTGCACCATAAAAGTCATTTCATAAACTATAAGCAACAGAAAAGCCCATCGTTAACATTACATATTTTTTCGACACTTTAAAAACACTATCTGCTTACAGTAGACATTTTAAAAGCTGAAAAACAACTGAGAAAGACATAGAATAGCAATTCTGTATTGACAATGCCCCTTCAATGTACATTTCATGATTCCTGTTTTTATTTATAGCCTCCACTTAGAACATTCACTGTAAAGTAATCAACAGATGGTTACATGTCTTTAAGACTCAGGAAAAAAAAAAACTGCAAAAAACACCAATCCTAACATCCACTCACCCTTCTGTCTACAGAATAAACACATAATTTGCTCCTATGTGTGGCTAACGTGTATACATAAAGATTTATATGCACCAAGGAAGGGTAACATTTTGACCAAAGTACAGAGTGTGCTTCTACAAATAGGAAAGCTGGTGTATTTTGTGGACACAGCCTACACAGCACAGTGGAACACAGGAGGGAAGTCACCCTTGTCTCCCAGACGTACGAATACAGCCAACTGGAATGGGGCCAGACACACTGGAGTCAGAACCACGAACACTTCCCGGGCAACATGGACTTGAAGGCTACACGTTCGGCAGCCCAGACCAACTTCCCACCTCTGAGAATCACCACAGGATGCTGTCATCCTAGTAGCTGAAATCGCTCACACCTTGAGAGTCCATCGACATCTGTCCTTGTCCATGGCCACTGCCTCCCTTTAAGCCACCAGGACTTCTTGCCAAGATTCTTGCAGCAGCTTCCGAAGCTCCAACTTCCCTACTTTCCCAGAGCCAGGACTCAAAGTTACACCCTAAAAGTCCATAAAGGCACCTGGTCCCCTCAGGATGAAATCAAAATCCCTCAGCCCAACACACCGACGTACAAACGCCTACCCGCCCCTACCCCTCCTGCCTCATCTAACAATGCTCCTGCATTGAGACGTTGTGCTGCAGCCCCACTCAACTACTCACTCTGTGTCCCCAGGCTCCACCAACACTTGAGCCTCTCCTGTGGGGATGTTGTCATCCAGGCACTCTGTCCCCTCCCCTGTCAGCAGACAGAATTCTGCATGCTCTCGTCAAGGACAGAAGCATCATGGGCACCCTCTCCGTGAACAGTCTGATGTTCATTCAGCACCTTGTTTGCCTGATTTGTCAGATAAAATTTTTTTCAACTTATTTGAGTTATTTGAAGGCTGAACAACAGATAGATACACAGAGAGATCTTCCACCTACTGATTCACTCCCCAAATTCCTGTAACAGCTGGAGGTAGGCCAGGCCAAAACTATGAACTAGGAACTCCATCTGGAACTCCCACATGAGTAGTAGGGACCCAAGCAGTTGAGCCAGGTCCCCAGGCTCATTATCAGGAAGCTAGAACACAAGCGGAGGTGGGGCTCAATCCATGGCACTGTGATACAGGATGTGTAGATTCCAAGTGGCTGCTTAACCTGCTGCACCACAATGCCTACCCCATATGCAGAATTAAAGTAACTTTCATCCTTGGCTTACCTTGATATGTAAATTTTAAGCATTGATGAGGAGCTGCAGCATTTTGAGAATAGCAGATATATCAGAAAACATCCTGCATGGGCAGGCAAGGGCTGGACATATGGTCGTCAGGACAAAACGGAGACCGTCTCCCAACTGTGGGACTTCTGCCAAGGTTCCTAACCCTTGTGGGCATCTGTTTCCTCATCAGACTTCTTATTTAGGTATATTAATCGAATATTTTCATACTTTCCAACTCCTTTTTACCATATACAAGGGATCTTCAAGAAAGTCATGTAAAATGTATCTTACAAAGAAAACCACACATGGCTTTTAAAAACCTTGCATCAAATATACTTATCTTTTCATTCCATTTCTCCATGGACTTTCTGAAGTCTCCTCACGTAAAGATTTCTAACAATAATTGTTACAAGGAGCAGTGAGTCACAGTTCTCTGCTTTTTAATCAGCGAGGCAATAGACTGAGGAGATGAGCATTAACATTTTCTAGGAGTAGACATAAAACAGGAGGGAACAATTCTTTTTTTAGGATTTATTTGAAAGTTAGAGTTACAGGAAGACGGGGAGACAGAGAAAGAGAGAGAAATATCTTCCATCAGAAGATTGCTGTAACAGCCAATTCATGGCACACAAATGGGTGCCCATATGGGATGCCAGCATCGCAGGTGGCAGTTTTACCCACAATGCCACAAAACCAGCCCCAAAGAGTATGATTCTTGATCTTAAGCCTTAAGAATATGACCATGGCAGCCAGTGTTGTGGCGTGGCAGGTTAAGCCTCCACCTGCAACACCAGCATCCCATATGGACACCAGTTTGATAGCCGGCTGCTCCACTTCTGATCCAGCACTCCGCTAATATGCCTGAGAAAGCAGAGGAAGATGGCTCAAGTGCTTGGGGCCCTGCCATCCACGTGGGAGATCTGGAAGAAGCTCCTGGCTCCTGGCTCAGCCCTGGCTATTGCAGCCATTTGGAGAGTGAACCAGTGGACGGAAGACCTCTCTCTCTCTCGAGCACTCTCTCTCTCCTCCTATCTCTAACCTTGCCTTTCAAAGAAATAAAAAAAAAAAAAAAACTTAAAAAAATAAAATACGACCATCTTGGTCAGACAGGACATGAGGCACAGCAAACAGAACAAGACATAAAATCAAACACCACGTTGTCTGTGTAGAAGCAAAGGAGCTAGGAGTGGAATGGTCATAAAAAGACTGTAGCCAGAGTGGGCCTTGCACCTGGTCTTAAAAGTGAGGTTAGGGTTGGGGTGGGGAAGTGCAACACGAGACAAATTCCAAGTCAAGAT